CCCTTCAGAGAGGTGTTTATTACAAATAAAAATGAAAATTAAAGCACATCGAGTTGGCAGAGTGGATGCGGATCCATCACTCATGTTGCACCTCGGTGTCGGACAAACAGAAGAAGTGAGGAATATTTAACAGCAGCGGTCACAGTGATGATGAGGCGAGCCACCAGTGATCGCGGCTGCGCCTCTCGTTTCTCATGCCCGCTCCGTGTGTCTGCTGGGCGGCGATCAAACGGACAGCGCAGCGCTTTTCAAGAGCGGAGATCGCTACTAAACGAATCATGTCATTTTTTTTCTTTTTTTTTTTTCTTATCTCGGTTCTTTTGTCGTAAGTTGTGTTATTACTCCATTAATTTATGCTAGCCTATATATCCAGCGCCAGTGTTGGGGAAAGTTACTTTTAAAAGTAATGCATTACAATATTGCGACATCTTCTGACTTCTCTCAACATGAGGACAGGAGAGCTGTCAATCAATAAATTGAAAAAAAAAAAAGTAACTTGCGTTACTTATTTGAAAAAGTAACTCAGATATTCTCTTGTAAATTAAAAAGTAATGCGTTACTTTACTAGTTACTTGAAAAAAGTAATCTGATTACATAACTCGCGTTACTTGTAATGCGTTACCCACAACACTGTCCAGCGCTCCCTAAACGCAGTCTCTTGCTTATTGCCAGTCAAGCGCAAGCACGCTGCAGGGACGCGTCTATAACGACTTTGATCTGATCATAAAGTCTTTCCGAGTTACAGGGCTCAAGTCCAAGTCAAGTCTCGAGTCATTGCTATCAAAGTCTAAGTCGAGTCTCAAGTCTTCTTTAATTATGTCGAGTCGAGTCGCAAGTCATCAAATTTGGGACTCGAGTCCGAGTCAAGTCTCGAGTCGTGTGACTCGAGTCCACACCCCTGGTGTTTAGTACGGCACATTCCTAATATAAGTCAGAGCTCTCATAACCTGTAGTGTTGACAAATGCCACAAAACCTCTAAAGGTATAAAAACCTTCTAACTTGTATAACACAGAGCACTTCCTATGGATGAGGCTTTTCACATGTGGCTGCTTTTGGCTGCCAAACAACAGATGTTCAATTTCAATAAAAAGCCATCCACATTTTGTAACCTTTCTTATTCACAGCTAAGATGACGGAGACATTTTCTTTTGTTGACACAAATGAAACGTGAAAATGAAAACGTGCCTGAGCTTCATATCACCATGCAGCTCTAATAGCACAGCCAAGCCAGGAGTTAAACATTAAGACCTTCATTGTTTATTCCAGATGCATGGATAAAGTGCCACGGCACGATCGGTTTAGAAAAGTTGCACTGAAAATTTGTACAAAAGGTCCAGAGAGGACTAAATACTTGATTTCAATAAGGAAAAGAAGAACTTCAGCTTCCAGTGCACACCAGACACAGGCTACTTTTGATTTGACCGAAGAAAAAACACTAATGTATCAAAGAAATACATATGCTAAGCAAATACATTTGGAAACTGTCCCTCTCAGCAGTATAATGCATTAAAAAAGATAAACTTCATATAAGTTGTTTCTAGCAACCCCTTTTGACAGCTACTATTTCATTTTTCGATTTCCATTTGCAGAGAGGAATGAAACAGATGCCATTTGAGTTCAGAAGAGCATGTAAAAACTGAGATGGCAATGGTCTCTGTTAATGAAAGTTGCCAAAAACAAGCCAATTACTTATGAGCAGACAAAAATAAAACAGAATCTAATATAGAACAAAAAATTAAATACAACAAAACACAACAGTTTATTCAGGTCCATGAGTGATGACATTTTATATAACAGCATAAAAAGGCTTCACTATTTGTATCACTTAGCTTCTATGTTTTCAATCCTTTATATTCGTCATGCTTAATTATTCATGCTCATTTCTTTTATTTGTACATTTATTTTACTATTGTCGTTTTTAGTTGTTAATATAAAATTAATCTAATTTAATAAAAATGAATCTAACATATCTCAAACTGAATATCCATTTTTTGATTCTGTACATTATAATGCAGTGATGCCTAATTTCACTTGTAGCATTTAAAACAGTTGATTTAAGTGTTTTGTGTTTTATTTTTAATTTATATAGAGGAAAAAAATTGTTGAATTTAGAAAAAAAAGGTATGGTTAACATGCATTATCTGGGTGAAAATGATCTGAGATGCACACAGGATTTGTACTGGGTCCCTGCTTGTTCTGTAACTTTTACATGTTTTATAAATAAGATGGCGAAATGGAGACGTATTTTAGTTACGAGTTCACACAGACACACTACAACCAAAGCAAACAGGAGATGGCATCTGCTGCCATTAAACCCTTGCTTCTCTTTATATAACACAGAGCACTTCCTATGGATGGGGCTTTTCACATGTGGCTGCTTCTGACTGCCAAACAACAGCTGTTCAATTTCAATGAAAAGCCTCCCACAATTTGTAACCTCCCTTATTCCAGGCTAAGATGATGCACACTTTTCTTTTGTTGACACAAATGAAACAGAGAAAAGTGACTCTAAGCCAAAACGTGCCTGAGCTTCATATCACCATGCAGCTCTAATAGCACAGCGAAGCCAGGAGTTAAACATTAAGACCGTCATTGTTTATTCCAGATGCATGGATAAAGTGCCACGGCACGATCGGTTTAGAAAAGTTGCACTGAAAATTTGTACAAAAGGTCCAGAGAGGACTAAATACTTGATTTCAATAAGGAAAAGAAGAACTTCAGCTTCCAGTGCACACCAGACACAGGCTACTTTTGATTTGACCGAAGAAAAAACACTAATGTATCAAAGAAATACATATGCTAAGCAAATACATTTGGAAACTGTCCCTCTCAGCAGTATAATGCATTAAAAAAGATAAACTTCATATAAGTTGTTTCTAGCAACCCCTTTTGACAGCTACTATTTCATTTTTCCATTTGCAGAGAGGAATGAAACAGATGCCATTTGAGTTCAGAAGAGCATGTAAAACTGAGACAGCAATTACTTATAAGCAGACAAAATACAACTTCAAACAAGCTGAATCTAATAGAACAAAAATAAAAATAAAATAAAACACAACAGTTTATTCCGGTCCATGAATGATAACATTTCATCTAACAGCATAGGAATGCTTCAATATTTGTATCACTTAGCTTCTGTGTTTTCAATACAATACTGGATATACTGAATACTGTTTAATTATTCATGCTCATTTCCTTTATGTGTACATTTATTTTACAATTACCGTTATCTATTAATATAACATGAATCTAATTTAATAGATTAAAATTGCAATTATTATTAAAATTAATAAAACTGTTAATCCAGCATATCTCAAACTGAATAGTCATTTTTCATCCTGTACATTATAATACAGTGATGCCTAAATTCACTTGCAGCATTTAGAACAGTTGATTTAAGTGTTTTGTGTTTTATTTTTAATTTATATAGAGGAAAAAAATTGTTGAATTTAGAAAAAAAAGGTATGGTTAACATGCATTATCTGGGTGAAAATGATCTGAGATGCACACAGGATTTGTACTGGGTCCCTGCTTGTTCTGTAACTTTTACATGTTTTATAAATAAGATGGCGAAATGGAGACGTATTTTAGTTACGAGTTCACACAGACACACTACAACCAAAGCAAACAGGAGATGGCATCTGCTGCCATTAAACCCTTGCTTCTCTTTACATGCAAACAACACACTCCTCACTTCTCACATACATTTTAACAGCTCACAGGACAAGGAGCACATTAACACAGTAATAGGTGCCATGCCAGCTACATTAGACATTAGAACAGCAGCGTTTGTGCCCCTAACTGAAAAATATCCCAGTGAAGGAAGGGATCTGATTGGCTTGCTCTGGACAACTCCCTAGAGAGACCTTGTGGCCTTCACAACCAGTCAGTGGATTTATGATTCACAGGCTGATCTACTAATGTTGCCACTAAATGCAAAATGACAGCACATTTATAAGCAAACTGACAAAACATTTGTGCAATAATGTCACTTGTGCAGTGAATGATAATAATCCTCTCTCTGAGACAAAACAGGGACTTGCACACAACTGTCACAAAAGTCACTGATTCTTAAAAAGGCAAGTTCAATAGTTTCATCAGGTTAAACTTGTATCCAGTTTTCCTGTATTACTAGAATTTCTCCAAATCACAATCACAAATGAAAAATAACCTGAAATAGATTAAAGACCCATTTTAAATGCATGCTGTTGTTTCCTTCAATTGTATGAAGTATGATAGATGAGCTGGGTGTTGGTCTCTATCAAGCCATCAGCAGTGGCATCAACATCAGTTGCAGAATACTATGAGTCTCAGGCAGAGGACACAGAACTATCATCCTGCTTCTATCTCAGACTTGGTCTGTGGGGATGACATCTTGATCTTTTTCCCTTTCCTTGAATAACAATGCACTGCAAAGACTAGCAAGAAACTTCACGCATTTTCTGTTTTGCCTATAGGTGTGGATATTTTAATAATAATTAAAGTTAAATTAAATTAATAAAAAAATAATCACATATGATTGTTGAAGGCATAGGTCACCCAGAATTTGCTGAAAATTAACCCTCAGGCCATTCTAAATATACTGTAGATGAGTTTGTTTCTTCATCTGAACAGATTTGGAGAAATTTAGCATCATCTCAATGATCTAAAAGGACTTCCAAATTATATGTAACAGAATTCTAATTTCATTTTCATATAAATATAGAATGCATGTTTTTTAATGCAAATGAGATCACTAAAGAGCACTGTTGCATATGATATCTCTGTCCTGTGTCATAATATATACATTTTTACTATGAATGCAATGCAGTGTTTGGTGTTAGATAAATTATAAAAGTTATGAGATTAATCACTGGCTAATCATTCAGGTATGAAAAATGGAATCTCACCTGTTTGTAATCAGACTCCCGGCCCACCAGCACCTGTAGGATGTAGATGATGGGGTCTCCTCTCATTGGTGGAATGCTCTCCCAGCTCACCTCACACACATTCCCTTCCATCTGTACCACTTTGGGAGCTAAAAGATAATACACAAGTTTAGCTGTATAAGCATCAAATAAGTGCCCATCCAGTACATGAACACATGTGGCGTGAAACAATGTGCAAATATTCTTGTATAAATATACTTCACCCTTGAGAGCTGGAGGAATAGACTTGGTCGTATGGAAGGTGTGTACTTCAGAGAAAAGGCCCTCTCCTGCCTCGCTCACAGCTTGAATCCTGAGACAGTAGCTGCTCGACTCATTTAGTCGCTGTACCTTATATGTGTGGCTTGGGCCTCTGTAGATTGTGACAAACCTAAAACATAAACATTTCATTTATGTTAATGGTGTGTTATTTAAACTTATTTAAATTAATTTTCAGCAGCTGTTACGCCAATCTTTAGTATCACATCATTCTTCAGAAATCATTCTAATATGCTGATTTCGTGCTCAAGAATTTTTAATCATCATCAATGTTGAAGACAGTTGTGCTGCTTAATATCTTTAGTAAACTGTTATTATTTTTAGGATGAATGGAAAGTTCAAAAGAACAGCATTTATATTAAATAGATTTTGTTTGGTAATAATGTACAAGTCTTTATTGTTTTTGATAAATCTAATACATCCTTGCTGAAAAAAGTATTAATTTCTGAAAAAAAAGAGTACTTTTTAAAGTTTTGAATGGTAGTGCATATCCATTTTTAACATCCAAACAATTTATTTTATTAACTGCTTTTTTGATTTTAGTTGACAATTGTTACCAGTTTTAATGATGAGCTACATTTGTCTAAAAACCAAAAAAGTAAATAAAACAACCACAAACTGTAAAAGAATGCTCTTTATGCCCATTTGTGTGTTTTTTAAGACAAACAAAGGCTTAACGACATTGTAGACCAGCCCCAGACTTTCACAATTTAATTTAACCTTTTTTTGGTCTCAATTACAATAAATTAGGTAGAAATTTCAGGTATTAGCAGTGAGCTCTGGGTATCCTCATGTCATGTCCTGTCCTAGCGCAACACCATCAGTCTTTACACAAACAACTCAGGTCAAAACAGAGAACAAAGCAGCAGCTGCTATTTAATGACTGCTTCCAGAGATATTTTGCCAATCTCAAGAAACTCCTGCCAGCTCGATGTCTGACTAATAAGATGAAGGTAACAGACCACTGACCAGCAGCTCGTATTTAATATTCTCACTTTAGCCCATCAAACTCTCTTCATCATCCAAGTCTGTGTTGAAATGCTGGCTTGGATTGATAGTTTTTTATGTGCATATAAATTAATAGTACTAAGCACAGTCTTTTGTTTCAAGCTCCAACACGCAGTAACTGATCACCTACTGAATTATAAAATAAACTCCAGAAGAAAGGGTTTTTCAAAGAGTAAGAAAACAAGAACAAGGGGAGAGTCCACAGAGAAGTGCTTGGATACAATAGCTGCTATTGTTGGTTTGATGGATAGTACATTTATGGTTACTATGGCAATCTGACCAGAAATAAAATGTGTAATAGCAGAACGATTACGAGTCCATTTCAGAGCCATGCTGAATCTAGTCTGTCCCGACTGTGCAGATGGTATCTAATTTTGATTAAGCAGCTGAATCAAATCATTGTTAACATAGCAAAAAAAAAAAAAAGAACAATCTAATGCACACTGATGATGGCAATTGGATCTTAGGCCTTTAGTAAATATGCTTATTGCTATCATTTGATCAGGACTAACACACAAAGTCAAGGGGACATTATGCTACCAATTGTTAGCCCTCTGTTTATGACTATGACATTTCATTTTGTATCTTTCAGTCTTTACACATGAATAAGATGCAATAAACGAATCCCAGAAAAGCCTTAATAACATCACCAAGAGGGTCCACAACAAGTATCTGAAGAACGTTGTGAAATCAAAATAGTTTGATTGAAAACATCACCTAAAAGTTTAAAAGTTTGGGGTCAGTTAGATATTTTTTAAGTAATACTTTTATTCAGAAATTTCAGGATGCATAAAACGGTTTAAGAACAATTTAAAATGTAAAAACATTAAGAAATGTTTCTCGAGCAGCAAATGAGCATATTAGAACGATTTCTGAAGGATCATGTGACACTGAAGACTGGAGTAATTGCCAACACAAGAATAAATAACATTTTAAAATATATTAAAATAGAAAACTAGTTATTTTGAATTATAATAATATTTCACAATATGACTGTATTTTTGTATTTTTCTTCAAATATATACAGCCTTTGTGAGCATCAAGAGACTTCCTATGTTCAAATATTAAAAAAAATCATACTCACTCTAAACTTTAGAAAGTTAAGAGCATATATAAAGAGTATTTATAAACTATCTACACCTTTGGTACATGTTTGTTAAAGATGAATGCTTTAATCATGTCTCCCCTTGTAGAAAAACTGTTACTGGCTAAAGAGAATCATTAAAATAATTAGAAAATTAACCAGTTTAACACAAAGGATTTCCGACAGTGTCGGTTGGGGAATTCATTATATTTTCTATTAAATGCCCATCTGTCAGGCCTGTTGCCCGCTCACAAATACTGCCAAAACACCACTCTGCCAAAGAAAACAATCAACAGTTACAATTAAATTAGGATGTGAGCCAAACTGAAACTCGGGGAGGTTAAAAATGCAGTGGCCTGGCCAATCTACAGGTATGTCTATAATAGTAAGGCCTAAAGACCTATAACATTAATTACATCTCAAAGCACTAATTTATATAGGATGACAGCTTTCAGTTGTTGAGCTATAAACAACTTTAAAAAAACATACAAGCTAAAAAGTTTAAAAATAAATGATGTATTTATGTAATGCCAAAATATTGCTGCCATCTAATGACAGTTCACCTTGACTAAATTACATTATTGCTCACAGTGCGCTTTCAAAATGAATTAAATTTCCCTCTTAGCGGCGCATCTATTGTCGTTTATGAGGTGTAATCGAGATGAACTGACCTTCTGTTCTTGTCCTCCATCTGCAAGTTGTAGACCATCTCTTCTCCAAGCAGGCTCTTGGCATTGCTGCTGTCTCCCCACTTGAGTTTGAGGCTCTGGGGTCCAGCGGCAGTGCACTCCAGTCGGGGCGGGACAGGGGGCAGTGGCCTTGTGCGGGCCAGCAGGGGAGGGCAGAAGGGACTGGCACCAATCTCATTCACTGCCTGAATCTGCAAACTGACACAGCATAGAGAGTCTCATTTAAAACATGCACATCAGGTGATCTTCAGGGCTGGACGATTTGACCTGTATATGGTGCAGAGCTAGAAATGTGTAAACTGCTACAGATATAGTGTTTCTATTTGTGCTGCTATCGGTGAGTAGGACTGCCTAATGTTATATAAAAGTATTTTATCTATTGTATAAAAACAAGCATTATCATCCTCCAAAACTACAATGATATATCACAATTACTGTCTGTAATCATTTTTTTATATCACAGTAAGGGTAAAAAAGATTTTGGTCACTCCTACTAATCCTACATGATATATAGAAAGAAAAAGCCTGAGACTGAAAACCTCTGACTACCATCAGATAGAGCAGTGTGATTGATGGGCTCAGTAGGAAATTCTTCCTTACTACTCAAAAGTAATATTTCAGTTTGGCTACTATAAATTACATTTTCGTTCATGTGTGTCACAAAAAAAAAAACATAACAACAGTCATGGCATTACAAGAGCCAGCAGCAAGGTGATATTAAGCTTCAAGGATAAGCATGATAGACTTTACCTGACCTTTACCACAAGACCTCCTGATTGAGACAAAGCAGCTTTGAGGCGTAAATCAATAACTTATTAAGAATGTAATTCTTAATAAACCTGCTCTTTCATCAAAACCTTTCAGCAACATGTCATATGCCACACGTTATATTGCAAGCTTTGAGTGAGCAGAGACAATAATTACACACATTTTCCTAGAAGTCCTCACTCAGTAGCATTTGGGATGTCTGACTCATTTCAGAGATTCAACAAAATAGAACACAACAAAACAAACAAACAAAACAAATCACAACAAAACGAAACACAGCAAAACACAACAACACACAACAAAGCACAAAACACAACACAACAACACAACACAACACAACACAACACAACACAACACAACACAACACAACTCAATGCTCCAAGAAGCATTTTGAAACATTAAGCATTTTGTTTGTAGAACAAACAAATATTTTGCGTTTAATCAAATCTTTTTATTAATGTTTTTAGACTTTTTTTAGACCTACTATTTTTTTTTCCCACTAAATACAACTGAAAGTGTTCAGTGTTCAGAAAATTGTCTAATTGAAATCCTGATAGTGCCAGGTCAAAAAAAATCTTTTTTTTTTTGTGGAACAAACAAATATTTTGTTTAATCTAAACTGTTTATCACTTTTTGATTTAGTTAAGTGTATTAGTGCATGTTTAGTTATAATTGTCACTAAAGTGTTCAGAGTTAATGCTGTCAGCCTAATTGAAATCCTCATTATTTTAGTACCCCATAAAACGTGATCATTAAATCATACAATCGGTTTTAATGATATAATTAAAAAGATAATGCTCTCTTTAGTATCTTCAATGCAGTTATACATTTTCAACTCGCAGTGCAGCTAACCATTAAATTAAGTAGCCATTCTTTTCAGAAGAACAGCACTGAGTCTTTAAAGACATGATGGCTACGAAATTGACCAGGTCGGTTCAGAACAGCTAAACAATCAGGTACTTGTGTTGTTTCCAAAAGCAAGAAAGCTAAGCAACTTGTTTACTTCATGTCACCGCTGAACTGTATACTTACTATAAAGCAACTGCACTGCAACGTGTGGATTTGCATTTGTTTTCAAAACACAACAAATGTCAACAGAGACACATGGTATCATCAATAACAGAGCTAATGTGACTCACTATACTAGACTCATTAATGTGTGTTAAAAACAACATTCGCCTTTGCTTACAGCTGCCGTTCATGCAGGAGGTGAGCAGATGACACTCATATGAGCAACTTCATCTGAATATGAATGTATCAATGGAGTGCAAGGGTTTCACATATGTTTATCAACAAGCCAACAGATGTGCCCTTGCTTTGCTGTTAACCATGTGAATCACTTCATGGCATTTTCCATGGCACAACACAAATATATTTACACACACATATGTACATAAATACAATTTTAAATATATTATATTATTTGCATTTATTACAACAAACAACAAAATCCAGCTAAAATGGGCTTTTCTCTGAAAATACTTCTCGTTTTACCCAGCTTCACCTGACTCAGCCTCGATGTGAAATGAGATGTGGTCCATCTCTTCACTCACTGCCACTATAAGAAGTAATAAGCCACGTCATGCTGAGTTTCGCTCACTTGGGGATGCAAATAACTTCCTTAACTTTCACCTTGCTAAGCTCAATCAAATTTATATTTGTCGGCTGCAAGTGCTTTGTGTAGAAGCCCATCATTCAAGGATAATGCCTTGTCATATTACTGAATCAAATAGAACCAAAATCAATTTCTGGATTAAAAAAAAATGGGAGAGTTGGGGAGTCTGGACTGTAATTAACAGCAGCTCTTCCACAACACCAGACTGTTTGGTTGGCATTTAACTGAAAACAAAACATAGTTTAACCTTTCAAGAGATTTCATTAGTCTGTACGCCCCTAATGACAAAAGACATAATCGATCTAGGAGAGATCAAATGAACATACAGTCTGCTTCACGCCGGGCCTGGCTCAAAAATATCTGGTCCTGATTCATATACAGTGGGGTTCGAAAGTCTTAGGCCATATCAAAAATCTGAGATTCAAAATCTTATTTTCACTTTAACCTGGAACCATATTTAAGATTCTCATTATATTTTTAAGTCACTGATCACAAAGCAAATTTGTGACATTACTACCCTAAACCATTTGTTTGAATATGATCTATTAAATATACGGAGCATAAAGAAACTCAGCTTCTTTGTATGAGCAGGGTAAATAACAAAGGTTACACTGCTATTAGACCAGTTAGAACACTGGCAAGAGACTACTGAGATAGTCTGCTATCAGATAATGAAATCTGCAAGTGGACTCCTGCCTTTGGTTTTGCTTCTAAAATCCAAAAGCAATCAATGAATAAAAATTAAAAAAAAAAAACATTAAAAAAAATTTAAAATAAATAAATAAATAATGTGGGCCATATATATTATTACTGTTCCATGAACAGTGTCGGAAAAATAAAACAGTGGGGCATGATGCATGGCTGAGAATGCTAACGAAGAGGAAGTCCAACAGCAGACAAATGCAACAGATGGACAACATGGAAATGGAAAGGTCAACCATAACTAGAAAATAAACCCTGATCTTCCCTGCACATGAATACTGAACATGGCGGGAATAGTAAGTGAAATATAAAACACACACACAAAAAAAATTGTAGAGATGTATTAAAAAAAAATCTAATCTACAGAGAGGTCCAATCTCTTTCTGAAAGAGTATTTACAACCCAGATTTTCAAAACAGAGTTTAATCCGTGTAAGCAACATTTAAATAGTTTAATATTCCACCATATAGTTCAAATTTACGTTTACAAATTTAGTAAAATTTGGCATTTATTGTAAATTTAAGAAGCAGTGATTTGTTTCAAAATGTAAACTTATGGTGCTTAGACAGTGTAAATGCAGACATGCTTTATTTTCTCTGTTTTATTAATGAGAATATTGAGAATCTGTAACAAGACCTAGAGTAGAGTTAAAAAGTTTTGAAAGTCTCTTATGCTCATGAAATCTGCCTTTTTAATCAAAATTACAGTAAAAATTATAATATTGTGAAATATTATTACAATTTAAAATAATGTTCTATGTTAATTTATTTAAAAAATAAATTTTTCTGATGGTAAATTTGAATTACTCCAGTCTTCGGTGTCACACGATCCTTCAGATATCCTTCTAATATGCTGATATGGTGCTCAAGAAACATTTCTCATTATTATCAATGTTGAAAACAGTTGCATTGATTCTTAAGTGAATAGAAAGTTCAAAAGAACAGCATTTATTTGAAATAGAAATCTTCTGTAACACAAGTCTTTATCCTAATTTTTTTAACAATTTAATGCATCCTTGCTGAATAAAAGTATTAATTTCTTCTGAAAAAAAAAATCTTACTGACCCCAAACTTTTAATTGGCAGGTTGATGACGAGTAACAATCTGCAGGAGTCAGAGGAAAGTGGGATGAAACTGGAAAAATCAGTCCCACGCAGATCTCTAATTTAAAGGCCATAATCAAAGCTCTCAGACAAAAACATGGGTTGCATAAGCTGGCTGATGAAGACACTTATATGTGCGCTGTGGAGGCCCCATGCAGGGATAGATGTCCTGTTATGGTCGCCACTTCGTAGATGCACACACAAACTCTGCCCTCTGGCCTTCTCTTTTCATTAGCTTCCGATTAGCATCATTAACACGCTGCTGTTTACCCACTGTTCTCCTGGGCAGGGGGAGGAAACAGGCAGCGGGGGTGATGCGGTTGTGGCGTCACGCTTCGCTGAAATGGACAACTTTGCAGAATGCAAATGAGACCTGAGATGGAGTGTAACTACTCCCCGCAGGACACAGTTTTGGCTCAGAGGGAATCGGAAAGCTAAGTAGTTATTAGTTAACACTGTTTTCCCATATCGCAGAAGTGCTTATGTAAATCACCAGATGAATGTGATCTAGTGAACAGAACGGTGTGTGTGTACATACCTGTATTCACTGTCAGGCTGTAGGTTCTGTAGCACATAGCAGGTGCTGGTGCCCAGGCTGATCAGCTGCTCTCCCAGTTTAAGAGTGTAAGATGTGATCTCCGCTCCATTGTTGCAGGGCTCATCCCATTTCAAAGCCAGGCAAGTGGAAGGTGTGTAGACGCCACTTTCTGTAGGGTCGTGCTCAAGTACACACAACACTGAGATGGGGTCGGGCATGGTGGCGGGGGTCTGACAGCTCACATGATCACTGTACGGTCCTGCACCTGCCTGATTCGCCGCCTTGAAACAGGGGACAAAGTTCCATAAACTGAACAGATATTTCATAATGTTAAAAGTTAGCCGTCAAAGCTTTTCACATTTAATTCATAGTTATGACCGGTTGATTCATTTCTAAAAAATGATCAGTAAATTACAAATAACGACACTGTATTGTGGCATCCACACCAACTGCCAAAGTTAGTAATTACAAACAGGCCTGTTATTTAATGTCCTTTCTCTAAAAAGGAACTAAATGTGTTAGTGCATAATGTATTAATCACAATTAAATATTTGAATCCACTGATAACCCTAATGTGCTGTGCAATAATGATAAATGCCACCTAAAAAAAAAAAGAAAGATGTAAAACATTTTTGGATTAAACTGACTGATTTATTAACAGAAACTTCATCTGTTTTAGTTCATCAACCAACATTTTTTAAATATATATTAATAAACATATTTATATGTCTTAATCCAATTCAGTAAAACATTTTGAGCTGCTTTACTACATTTCCTAATAAATAAAAATGATTATAGTAATAATTACGCTGTTAATCCTCACCATATAATATCATCTCGAGTATCACCAGCTCATTTATTTAAAGAATAATGACTGTTTTACAGCCTCACTGCACACAACGATACAGTTAATGACACTTGTACTACTCTACTCAATTAAATACGCTAAAATAGACGAGAGCAAATGCTAATTACGTTAAATATGGCACAAAAATCTATCCAAAGTTTATTCAAGTTTTCTAATTCTGGATTCAGGCTGCACTAGAATGACGCACGATAAATTTTTAAAATCTAATAAAATAACATCATGCAGTAATGAGTTATTTACACTTTCCAACTCCCAGGGCACTGAACCTTATAAACAAAAGTAGGCATTAAAAAAGGCATTATGAAAGTAAAAGAAAGGTGAAATTTGTAAAATTGCCTCAACCAAACTCTTCACATTAACAATACATTGTTCCAGACTTGTTAAACAAATGAAAAGAACTGTTAAGTGACAGTAATACCTGTAGTCTGCAGTAGTAATGAGTAGCAGGTGTCAGGTCTGAGATCTCACACTGCGTGTCAGGGCCACAGTAGATCAGCTCCATGGGCTCTTCCTCTCGGCCCCACTCCAGACGGTACTCAGAGATGTCGGCCCCTGAGCTCTCTGGACTCTGAAAGAGGCATAAATGAATTATTGACTGATTGGGTACTTCAGCTCATCTGAACGTCAATACTGACAGTGTTGTTGAGTGTGTTTATGTAAAACCCATGTACTTTTAATGATAGGTCTGCTTTAAATATGATAAATTACCTCCCAGCTGACCAGCACACAGGTATTGGACATTAGGGTGAGGGATGGCGCCGCACACTGGCTCGGAGGACCAGCTGCGGTTGTTATTTCTGTTGGTTCAGAGTATTGCCCATACTGTAAGCATAAGAAAAGAGAGACAAAGAAGTGCAAATTAACATTCACTACATGACATGAAATGTTTCATATGCAACCAAGTTTATTTCTATCCAAATAAAATGTGAAAAACGAACAAGACCGAAACAAATAAAACCCAAAAACAAACTTGCATTACATCCTTCTGAAATCAAAGCATGTTTCCAGTAGTGCAATCTGATGTGAGACACATCGATTCTTCACTTGTGGGAGTTTGTCTCAAGCAAACAAATGAAAAGTAAACAGAGAACAAGATTAAATTCTCTCCTCAGGCTCTAGTGCTTACTCTGAATGCTGTATTAACACTCCTGGAAAAGAGACAGGGAAAGGTACTTAATTCGAGCAAAGAAAAAGTTAGACAGCTAGGGCTGATCTCTGCCTCCCTGAGAAATCCTTGGAGAAGCTGGAGAGATATCTATGAAAGCCCATTTCTGCTATATAAGAAAAAAATCATGCTTTGGTAATTCATAATTATGACATAAACAGACATAATTAGGAGATCTAACATCAAAATAATGACATACATACAAATTGAAATTGTAAGACAAAAGCCGAAATTGACATAAAAAGTCACAATTATAAAACGAAAAGTCATAATTATGATAAAGTTGACTTTATGACATTAGAAGTCACATTTATGACAAACAGTTTTACAAAAATAATTTGACAGTCGAAACTATTTGTCTTAATTTTGACTTTTACGTCATATTTATCTCAAATAATTATTTCAAAGGGATACAACATTTATTTCAAATAATTATTGTCTGGTTTAGACAAGCAATGCGATAAAGTAATGGTAGGGATAGGTCAGGATGGTCAATTAGTGAGGTTGATGAATTTGCATTAATTTAAAAACTAATTCTGAATCACATAAGCTCTGAGAAAATTTTAGCATGCTGTTAGGCTGGTATGTTAGCCTGGCAGTAGTCCTTTGGACAGACTAGTCAACTAGTTATGACAACCCATTGACTAGTTAATGAAAATATGTACTGTAGAGTTCTGGGCATCAGTGAATCTCTTAATATTAGATTCCTAATTTGTCACTCACCCCTGCCTCGTTGGCAGCACGCAGGCGGAAGCTATGGGTGGCGCCAGGGAGCAGACTGCCCACAGTGCACTCCAGATCAGAGCCGTGATAGACCTCGGCAGGCTCAGACTCTCCCTCCCTCATTTCCAAACTGTACTCACTCACCTCACATGCCCCCTCAGAGGAGGGACAGTCTGAAAAGAAGGACAAAGACAAAGCCCTTCAGTACAACAACGAGTTAAAAGGGCAGGGATTACAGGTTAATTTCATCTTTTATAATAAAAGTAAGGGGTTCTTTTAAGGCAGACCAAATTACAGCTTTACAACTTCAGATCAAAGATTCTTGTCCAAAAGCCTGAATCCAGAGTGTTCACTTAAAAGTCTGGAATCAGCAGCTCAACAATGGAGCTCCCATTATACCCAGAATTCACTCCCCACTGAGGGTGTTTGGCTATTAACTCCAAAGCAATAGCTCAGGCACAGGGAGTCAGTGAGTCAAGTGCACTGCAAGAGCATCATTCTAGTCTAGTACTGGAAAATATGTGCAAGCTGATAATGTTACATTGAGGAAATGTAGCAAAAATGGTGGAAATATTGATCTTAAGCTATTTCTGGATATGACAAAGGGGTTTTGTGGCATTGGGTGAACGCCACAGAGAGGCTTGGTGAAATGTAATTTCACATCATCAGAAATAAATCAGAAACTGCAGAGATCTCGGGAGAATGGAAATTATCAACTAAATGCGGTTTCTTGATACTGTAACTGGGAAAGTATGGTGTTAGCAACATTGTGGCTTTGATTCACAAGGAAAATGTCTGAAAAATGTGCCTTGAATGCATTGTACATCACGTTGTATAAAAGATTATGGTAAAATGCATACAAGTAAACAAGAAATGAAAGAGGCTAAGAAATGGAAAACTCTCAGAAGTGTGATGTATTGTACAGGAAGGACAGAGAGGGATAGAAAAAGAGAGAAATAAATTATGTTGTGGGTTTACATACTGCGTGCCAAAAATCTTACCCCATTGTAAGTGCACTTCTTTGTGTTTCGCTTTACCCACAATTCTGGGAGGCTGGCAACGTCCTGGAGCAACAGATAGCGTACGCACAGGCAGACTCTCAGAGCACTACAGGGACACAAGCATAACAATTATGTATTTATAAATATAACTGCAGAAATAAGTAGGTGTTTTACACTACCATTCAAAAGATTGAGGACTTTTTGTTTTTAAAGAAAAATATTTTTATTCAGCAAGGAAACATTAAAGTGATCAAAAGTGAAGTAACAACATTCAAAGGACTTCCATTTCAAATAAATGCTGTAAGTTTCCACAAAAATATTAAGCAGCACAACCACTTCTAACATTGATAATAATAAAAAAGTTTTTTGAGCAGCAAATCAGCATATTAGAACGATTTCTTAAGGATCATGTGACACTGAAGTCAGGAGGATGGATGGCTGCTGAAAATTCAGCTTCACCATCACAGGAATAAAAATTACATTATACAGTATATTATAGAATATATTAAAATAGTTGTTTTATATATTAAAAAGCAGTTATTTTAAAATGAAAATATATTTCACAATATTACTATTTTGAAGAATTATATTCTTCATCAAATAAATGCAGCCTTGGTGATTATAAGTGACTTCTTTCAGAAACATATATATAAAAAATGACTGACCCAAAACGTTTGAATGGTAGCGTACACTCTATGATGCATATTGGACTGGATTTCTAAAAAACTGGTCATGAAACTTAATCTCATTCTTTATATTTCGAAAGTCACAACACACAGTCTGCTTAAATATCACACAAGCATTGCTATGTTTTGATTTTTTTATTACTAACACTAGACACCTCAAGAATATTGCTGAACTGAAAAAAAATGTGAAAATTCCTCGAACTTTGTGCAGATCTGATGCACAGTAACATTTAGAAAAGGTTAATGGAGGTTACAGATGTGTCCAAAGCTGTTACCTGGCTGTGGCCGCCTGTGCTGATGCTGCAGGTGCGCAGTCTGTACAATGTGCCAGGTTTCAAGTCCTCACACTCACACTCTGTGGCAGGCCCACTGTAGGTAATGTCCCACTGATTGGCTACAGAAAACAAGACATCAAAGAGTTAAACAACCACAGGACAAACAGCCGGACACATTGGATATCAGTCCGTTATCCATGCAACTATTCCCAAAGCTTAAAGAAATCCTTACCAGATAAAACACAAAGGTAACAATGAACATCTAAGAGCTGTATTTTGTATTTGAGTATTTTTGTCTATATGAAATTCCTTTTAGAGAAATAAAAGCTCTGACAGCACTAATGGAGTGTGTAAGAAAAGAGGACAGATGTAACAGTGTGAGGACAATGTTCTTTCAAAAGGGTTCGTGTGGAAAAAAAAAACAAAAAAGACAAGATGCATGTCTAAATACTTTTGAAATAAAATTAAGATGTAATTAACCAAGGACAAAAATATACTTAAACATGCAGACAGATGGCGACCAATACAAAGCGTGTCAAAGTGACATATCGGTGTTGCATATATTAATACATACCATCAGAATTTCCTTCTGACATCTCTAAGAGGTATTTCAAGATTTCTGAACCTCCGTTGTCTTGTGGAGGATCTGTAGCGTGACAATACAGACAGGATATTAGAAATACACACACAGATGTGTTTAATATACATGCTTCCTTTAAAAAGTACTTGAACAACAGCTAAACTACTAGCTGTTATTTAAGTTTACAAAAGAAATAAAGCAGTATAAAAACTGTATTAAAGGGGTCAGAGCACACATTTTTCATTTAATTTCTTCCTGAGGTCCACTAAAACGGTTAGTTATGTTGTTTGTGCCAAAAACTTTGTAATTTGGTCTTTTACAGTTTAATATGCATTTATTTGCTACCGTAAGCACCGAAACCTACAGCATCTTTTTATTGTATAAATAAACTCATTTCAAAAGATTAAGGGAAATTTGATTACCCATGATATGACCTGACAACTGTTGTATCCCTTTGCATCGAGTGTGCAAAAACTACATTTTATACATTTGCCCTTGAAGTTTATTGCAGCTGTCAGAAATCAACTGTTTGGTTCATTACTATGTGGAAATAAAGAGGGAATTATCACACTGAGAACACAATACAACCGCAGACCTCATCCTACTTGCTTTTGCAAGCAAGGAACTGAATTGGAAAGTGGCAGAAGCCAAGCAGTTCATCACAAAAGAAGACCTCAAGATGAGGTGTATTGTGACGCACACATGAGTCAGATAGAGACAGAACAATACCAGGACATTACATTTTATGTAGGTTTGTAAATATGAATATTACAATATTAATATTACATTCACAGATATTTCTTCTCAATTTCCAAGATTCAAAATGTCGAGTTCAAATGCAAAACAGATTGCATGTGCTCCCAAATATAAATGAGATTTCCAAATTCCACTCACAGCCAGAAACCAATTCAGCAAATGCAACAACTCAAGCTGAACATTTCAGCTGCACAAAAAGCCATACCCCATTTGACACTGAAGCTGTAGGGTCTGATAGGGCCCTTGATGCAGGGTCTGGAGGGGGGTCCAGGTTTGTCTGGACTGGTGTTACACACCAGCACCTCACTGGGACTGCTCCTGCCCTCCAGGTTCGAGGCTATGAGCTTCAAGACACAAAAACAAGATTGTTTAAACCTCTTTGTAAGAGAAAGCACCACTAGCTCTTTTTGCTCTTGTTGAATTGCATGTTTTGAGATGTCATTAATTCATATGGTGACCACATGTACTCTTGATCCCAGAATTGTCCTGGGTGGGATTTCTAAATTGCCAATCTAAATGTCCAAGTATTGGCTTTGTTTTTCTATAGTTTTCATACTATAGAATAGTTACCTACTTGCTGAAGGTAATGATTGAAAAATAGTTTGACCAAAAACATGTAGGTATTGTACATAATTGAGCAATTGTCGGGTGCAAGAAGTTGGGATCTAGAGAGAATAGTCAAAGTAATGCAAATACACGTACATATAATGTATGAGGACTGTTGTAAAAAAACAACAATTTAGAAATCCCAGTCAGGACATGTCCAGGAAAAAGACGATGTATGGCCACCCTACCCTAAGTCTAACTACAAGCAATAGCAATATTTGAATATTGAAATATTGTTGAAAAACACTTGAAACAAATACAAAATTAAGCAAATTTCATTCGAGTCACTCTATTTTGATTGGTTTGAAATGTTTTGGAATTAAAATTTTATTTTAATAAAATAAAATAAAATAACTAGTAATACAATAATTGTGTTTTCATGATCATTTTCATTTTCAAGTGTGGTATTTCTGTCCATCCCTAATTTTTATACTGAAACAAAAAATTAAACAATTTACCTTAGCTATATGAATAAGGTAGCTAAGAAAATAATTAAAAAGATATAAGATTCGCAAATGTCAAAAAGTGGGAAATAAGAGACATGTATGATACATAAATCTGACCGCTTGAACACATCTTCATGCATATAAAACGTAAGATTATAACAAAAAACGAAACCATTACACACAGCCTAATAAAGAGCATCTGTATGCAAACAATCCCCCACAAATGCAGCGGTAATGACATAACACTTTTACACACTCCCATTATTTGCACCTGCAACTTTAATGGATGCCTCCACTTAAAATATGCAAAAAACCCAAGAGGTGTGTGCACCATTCGGAGGAATTACTGTTAATTATGAAAGCACTTAAGCCAGACCCACTCACTGCATTACAGCAGCACTTGACGTGGGCTGCGGTTCACTCATAATTAGATAGGAGAGTTCACTATATGAACGTGACAGAAGAAAATATCTGTGATGATAATAAAAAACAACTGTAGCATGAGTCAGTGGAGCACAGAGAGAGGTTAAAGCAGTTTGTTGCCACTGTAATTAACAATGTATGACTCTAGGCTTAATTTGTCAGATGTCCCTGTAACACAAACATGCTTCCTGCACATACAGTTACTCACCCACACAGGTAAACAAAACACTGTGTGCCTTTAAAGAGCAGGTGTTGAACGCTGCACACTTTTGGCTAATAATTAACACACTACGCTTGACCAAAACATCAGGTCACTATGACTTGGCAATTAATATCTGACCAGCACTTTACAGAAAGCATTATTCTCTTCAAAACAGACAAATGCACCTCTTTGTTATTTTTGAGTATGTCAATAACAATACATTTGCATATGTGTCAAATGTGAGCTTTAAAGGGATAGCTCACCCAAAAATGAACATTCTGTCATTAATTACTCTTCCTCATGTTGTTCCAAACCCGAAAGACCTTGGTTCATCTTCGGAACACAAATTAAGATATTTTTTAAGAAATCAGAGAGCTTTCTGACTCGTAGCATAGACAGCAATGCAACTACCATGTTCAAGGCCTAGAAAGGTCATAGCCCATGTGACAACAGTGGTTCAACTGTAATTTTGTGAAGCTACGAGAATACTTTTTTTGCGCAAAGAAAACAACAATGACTTTATTCAACATTTCTTCTCCTCTGCATCACCGTCCGCACCATTCACAAGAATACCATGATGCTCAGTTTAACCACTCATATCACATGGACTGTTTTAACGATGTCCTTACTATGTCTCTGGGCCTGGGAACATTTCAGTTGTATTGCTGTCTATGCAGGGTTAGAAAGCTCTCAGATTTCATCAAAAATATCTTAATTTGTGTTTTAAAGATGAACGAAGGCCTTACAGGTTTGGAACGACATGAGGGTGAGTAATTAATGACAGAATTTTAATTTTTGTGTGAACTATCCCTTTAAGATCTCTTTAATGTCTTTTTGTGGCTTGTTTTTGTGTCAATCCATCTACTGTACCACCTCACAGATCATACCAAACCAACAAGCAGTAAACATAATGAGTTAACATACCCCTCGCAGGATCATTTTTAAGTATTTTGTCATTTATTTTCTATATTCTGTTTCCAAACCAGGTTTGTCTGTCAACTCTAAAGTTTCAAAATTTGATGTTATATGTATGTCCACATTTTGGACCAATGTGATCTCACATGTTTGTAACTTTTTGCTTTTGGCTTGTCCTAAGTAGTGAAGTAGCCGACATTTCCCAGCATGCTCTGCACATTTGTGTTACTCTCCAAAGTTCCAAATGATGTTGTAATCTAGATTTGCCCCTCAGGACAACCAAGGGACTCTTTAAATGATTTGCATTATGATTATAGCTAGGAGTGCATGAACTGATGAGCTCTGAATCACACAATAATGTGATATTTGTGATATTCTAAGCTATATAAAAAATGTATTTACTCACCCTGAATTTATACTGTGTGCTTCTTTTCAGCCCCTCTACAGTACATGTCAAGTTTTCTCCAGTGTACTTTGGGTGAAACTCTGTTCCCTGCAGAAAATGACCATAAAACTGCATCTTAGTGACCTTACATTACCATTAACATCACAGAAAGTTGCACTGGGAATCGTAAGGAATCTATCATTCTGATTAAGGTTCCACGTCATGATTTTTTTTTCTTAAATTCTTTTAGTTTTTGTTTTTTTTAAGAGTAACCCATCAATAACTGGTTCTACAGCAACTATATATTAAACCAAACTATGACCATTTTTCAGTGACATTTGTATGTTTTTTTATTAAACTGGTGTACAGTAATTCTCATGAGCATTGCATATACATCAAGTACTATATGAATGCAAAAGAAAGACATTTGTCTATTTATTGTCTTGGTGGAACAGTGCAGATGTTCAAACACTAATTTGAGTCAAATGTTATGAAAATTATTTGATTCAAGTATTTCTTTAAAAATGATCTCCTTTGATCCTAATTAATGACCAGTTTTTAAATTCCAAATGCCATTGGGTTCAAGTATGTAGAATTGTAGTATGTCGTTTTCATGTAGTAACTGATGACACTGTCATCTAAATGACATACAACGTTCTCCTCCTGGATCTCCAGCGTGTATGTGACGGGTTCCTCTGCGGTGCAGCCATCTGGGCGGCTCCACTCCAGCGTGATCCATGTGATGCCGGCACGCACCAGCCGAGGAGCATGGGGCAGGTGGGGCAGACTTCCAGTCGTGTAGAAGACCACCTCAGGACTAAAGCCACTGACAAACAAAACAAGAGAGAAAACATTCAGAATTACATTAATATATGCATACACACACAAACACATATACACACAAGAAGCCATAAAACGGCCAGGAATAGTGTTTTTAGTTGTTTGGTTATCCGTCAAGAAGAACGTATAAATGTGTTTTGCATAAACTTTGCAGAAGAACTGTGTTCATTTGCATCCCTCTCAGGTCAGACACTTTAAATGAGTTTATTTTTAAACACCGCTCCAATATGAATAACTTCCAGGCTGATTTAAGGAATTTGAATAGTTTTCCTCTCCTCTCGATAGTGGCTTTAAATCTAGTTTCTTCCAATTAACTGGTTGTGACAAGTTTACTAGAGCCCTCAGTATTTACTGTGTGTAGGAGAGTGTCTATAACTGCCACTGGGGAACAGGAGATATTAAATGAGCTTCTCTCAGTTAAGGAAGTAATAAAAAACATCCTCTTCAGACTGGGCAAAAGGTGGCTTGCTGGAGGTGGAGTCTCATATTTCAGTGTATTGCTTCACTCTCTGAATGTGTCTCTGGTATTAATGTCAGGAGATGGAGGAGACGAGGGATGGCACTGCATTCAGAGTGATGACCATCTTCCCTCAAACAACTTCATTTCCACCCACTAGACCAAACATATAGATATATTCTCTAGTTATTCTGTAGATTGGTGTGAGGGTCAATTGGCTTTCCCTACTAATCAAGTTGTTTCTTTATTTTAAAAATAAAATTATATAAAATAATAATATTAAATTACATCAATATATATTATTTTGCCATAAATATTTTTTTTTGATGTGTGGAAAAAATATATAGGTGGTGAAATGGAGAAGTAGAAGAGAGCGAGAGCGAAAGAGAAAGACAAAGCACTCCAGTGGCCGTCTGTTCTCTTGAATCAAGGTGACTTTATGGCTTTCCTCCTCCATTAAGACTTGAGGGATGGTGATACGATGAGATTACAGAGGGATAATGGTATTGTTCTGTCACACACTGGATTTAATAATATGCATCCTGTACAGCAACCCATAGAAAGAGCCTTATTATCCTCATATTACCTCCTAACATAGTTGGTCAAACAATGTTTAAATATTTGCCTTTATCCCAATTTGCACACAATCCATACTAAAAAGTACGTAACATTAATGTTATTGCGTTTCAGTGTATTTAAATACTTTGTGTAAGCCTAGAAAATGTTTATGCACGTAATTCTGCAGTGATACCTCATTCCTATGTCGTTGCGTGCCGCCACTCGAAACGTGTAGGCCATGGCTGGACACAGATGAGTGAGTTTGTAGTGCCTTTGGCTTCCGAAGTAACATTCTCTGAAAATGTTGTTCTTTTTGCCCTAATAGATGAAGTAGATGATTAACACATACATTTCAGTCACTACACTGCATAAAATCACTGAAGCCATTCAGCGTCTGTAATGATGGCTGGAGTGAGAAATGTATGAGTGGCAACAGTGTGCTGTGGTCTGTGAAGGATGCAGAGACATCACTCAGATATGAATCTTTAAATAGAGTGAATGTGAAGAGGACTGATGTCAAAAAGACATCATTAGTGTTCAAAATGTTGAAATGCAGTTCATCCAGAAGGCCCTTTTACTAAAAATGTGAAAAGAAATTGAATAATAATAATGAAAAACTTTATAAAGTCTTTCTTGTTAACCAAAAAAAAAAAAAAAGCAATACCTCATCCCACTCTAAAAGGTAACTGGTGATTTTTGATCCATTATCGACTGGTGCCTGAGAGGACAGACATAAAAAGAAACAAATTAGAACTGCACAAAAAGAAGGAAAACTGGAAGAAAAACTTATTTCCTAATAAAATGAGTTAAGTAACAGGAAGCACTGTCTGTGTACTGGACCATAAAAACCTTAAAGTAGTGATAGGGAGTCGACACGTCATGTTCAACATCGTTTACTTTTTCCAGTCCTATATACACTCGGTGCTTATAAGGCTTATAAGGTTAATAAAGGTGCTTCAAAAGGTTCTTCAAGCGATGCCATAGGAGAACCATTTTTGGTTCCACAAAGAACCATTCAGTCAAAGGTTCTTTAAAGAACCATCTCTTTCTTACCCTTTTATAATCTGAAGAACCTTCTTTCACCACAAAGAACCTTTTGTGAAACAGAAAGGTTCTTCAGATGTTAAAGGTTCTTTATGGAACCATTTAGACAAAAAGGTTCTTCTATGGCATCGTGAAGCACCTTTATTTTTAAGAGTGTAGTGCATAACAGTTGAGTGCACTACATCAGCATGGACTGAATGATGATGTTAACAGGCTACTCATTTCAAGGTAATGCCATTATCCAATTTGGACAGTCATGCTAAAAGTGTGTTGTTTTAATAACAGAAATTTAAGGCTTTGTGTCAAAAAAAAAAAGATTAAATTTAGTTTGTACTAATGACTGCAATCTTGTATTCTCTTCCTGACCTGTTTGGATTTAAAGTAAATGGAGTCTAGGAGTCGATTCCATTGACTCCTACGGTGGGAGTCGGAGTCGGAATCGAACACCCCTATCTTAATAGGAGCAATCCCTACTTAAAAGTATAGTTCAGTCAATCACTTGCGTTATTCCAAAACCTTTATGATTTTCTTTATTATGCTGAACACATAAAGAGAAAGCAGAATGTACATGTTTATATTTGTCGTACAATGAACGTAATTGGTGATTAGGGGCTGTCGAACTATTTAAAAAATAAATAAAAATACACTGACATGTCCATACATCTTGTGTGCTATATACTATATACTCACATCCACATTGGTCTTCTTGTTTTCTAATTCAACATTAATAATAAGAAGAAATGTTTCTTGACCACCAAATCAGCATATTATAATTATTTCTAAAGTATCATGTGACACTGAAGACTGATGTAATGATGCTGAAAATGTAGCATTTCCAACACAAGAATACATTACATTTTAAAATATATTAAAATACAAAGCAGTTATAACAGTTACAGTTGTAATAGTATTTCACAGTACTGTATTTTTCATCAAATAAGTGCAGCCTTGCTGAGCATAAGAAGCTAACATTTAGTGTCATGTAGACAATTATAAGGTGCTTTCTGCATTTTTTGTGGCCCCTGGTCATCATTAACGGTCACTGTATAGAAAAGGGTAGCGTGATCTTTTTCTTCTCCCCCTTTTATGTTCCACAGAAGAAAGAAAGTTATATAGGGTTGAAGAAAAACGTGAGGGTCAGTAAATGATGACAATTTTCATTTTTGGGTGAACTCTCTTACTTGATCTCTTTAATACTTTAGTAAGAAGAATGGAGCATCTCCTTCAAATCTACCAGGTTCATTAGACTTGCAAAAAGTTCTCACCTGCAATAAAACTTCACAAACTTTATGCTAAAATGCACTTTGAATGAAGAATTGATATCTGATATCTAATGCACGGGAAACCATCTGGCTATGGCTTTAACTTCCATACTAGTGCGTGATAAACAGTGCCCTCACCTTCCACTGCAGGGTGAGCGTGCTCTTTGTGCGGTGGGACAGTTTAGTGGGCAGCGGGCAGTCTGGGGTACTGCTGTGGGTGGTGAAAGCCCCCACCTCAGAGCACGAACCCTTCACAGAATTGCACACAGTGTTCACTCTTTGAAAGACAAACACACATAAATTTAGTGGCATAGTTCATTCAAAGTCACCTATACTGCATTTATAGCAGGAAAAAAACACTTTTCGTGTCCCACAGAAGATCGCTTAAGGGAGAAACTTATAGTGCATTCAAGGTGCTTTTTATGACTAATCGAACTCATGACCTTGGCACTTCTAGCGGCATTTAAGTTACAGGAAGAAAAGCACAGCTGGGCCTTGTTCAATACTTTAATACACTGCAATCAGAAGTTCAGTGCATTTTCTGATTGAGTGCACATTGCTTTTACAATGCCGGGAAATTGCTTTTAAAAAAAGATGAGCTAGCAAAAAAAAAGAAAAGTGCAGCACTACACTCATTGCTTATTCCGGTGCTGGAAAAGTTGGGACAAAATCATCTAGACACACATGCCATTTCCCAACAGGTCGCTGAGATTTATAAAGAGCAAAAAATAATAACTCTTAGGGACAAACAGGGCGTTCAGGGTCATATCTAACTGTAGAGACGAAGAGTCTCCCAACATCCCTTAATCAGAACATATATTCAGTTCCAAGTTCAACTGCTGCCAGGGGTCAAAGGTCGACTGAAAACCAAGCCGACAATTTCAATGTGTTTTAATGAGGATCCAGGCAAACCGACATCCAGCACTGGATTCTCCACTAACAAGAGCTCCCAATGACAGAATAGACCAACAGCGCCTATTCGCGGTGGCACAGATTACATCAAATGTGGGCTTGAAAGGTTCTTTGAGGAACAGTACATGCATCATATTTAATCTTGACCTTTCCAGCGCTGTGGTGCACGGCACTTTCGGCTCAATTAATCACAGGTAACAGGCAGACCATTAGAGAGACATTTAGGTAGAGCTGAGGTCATTAAAGAAAAATGGAAGTTAAAATGATGACTAATATTCCATTAACGGTAACTATGATTATATAAAAAAGACGACTGCAGATAATTGGATCACTGTAATGACAACACTGATCACCCGAAATAACATGAATTTCTGTGACAATGGGCTCTAATCACAGTAACAGTTTGAGCTACTCAAACCTCATGGCAGATTGCAAGAAATAAAGTTGAGAGCTACACTTACCTTACATGGTAGTCTGTTGCTGGTCTGAGATCTTTTAAATTGCATTCCAACTCCTCTCCACTGAAAGGACACACATACATGATGGTTACTGACCTTAATGGATGCCAGCAATAGAGTTGTGGTGTTCAAAGCACAAAATTGACTTTCATAAGAGATGTTGTTGAGGTATTGAGCACAACTGCTCAAGCGAAAAACTGTGATTGCTTTTGTCTCGATAGATTTTAGGGTTTCTGGCGGCCATTTTTTATTGCAGTGTGACTATATTTTGTTAGAGGTCGCTTTGGTGCAACTCCAAAATTGCCCCATTCTTTTAGATTATGCGCTGTCATTTTCTTTTTGAGTGTGGGGAACAACAAAAGGAAAACACTCAAAAGTGGGCTGGAACGGCGCTACCCGACCGTGAGGCCAAATTGAAAGGCGAAGCACAAACCAATTTTAAACGCAGCACGAGTAGTGCATCCCATTTAAATTGGAAATATTTCTGTTACATAAGCCTCTATGGAAACAGCAAATGATTTTAACATGCAAGTTAAAACCATATTAAAGAGCAGGTCATATGGTATTTTAAAGTGTCCTAATATTGTGTTGGATCCCCCTACAACAGGTTTAAATGCATCTAAGGTCAGAAAACATTGTAATTTTCTCAGAATATACATTTAATATTAAGAGTCATAGAGTCAAACGGTTCGTTCCAAGCAAGTTCGGAGCAAACCCCTCCCTTCCATAAGCCTACTCTGCTTTGATTGGTCAGCTGGCCAAGCCTGCTGTGATTGGCACAGAGAGGAGTCCTTGAGCAAGTTAGCGAGCGCTACCATTGACAAAGCACCTTTGCATAAAACAATAATATAGTGCTCCAATCTGTTCTTATAATAATGACATAAAATACAAAACACTCATGCAAGCGAATGCCCACAGCTAAAGTTTAGCTGCTAAACTGTGAACACTTAAAACAATAATGGTGGATACATTAGCTGAGTGCTAACGTGACTAACTGATGAAACAATACAGTTTGTAAACCAATATATGTCTACTGTAATGTTTGAAGAACGACAGACACAAATGTGCTACCCAGTGACGTATACCGGTAACAGGCAAAAGATTCTAAAATATGACGACTCGTTAAGGCGATTCAGAATTGACTCTCTCTTTTGAGAGACAATATCTTTATTTATCATGCACTTTTTTGATTAACAACTTTGCAGATTGTTTTCATTTAAGGATAGCTATGTTATAAACTGCAAAAGAGATATTTTTCAAAAACCCATATGACCTGCTCTTTAAACATCCACAATGTTGCAGTGAAAAAAAACTGATTTATGTACGAAAACAAATTAGAAACTGTATTAACAAGGGTATTTTAGCACCAATGTTCCATATGTATATAAAATATTATGATAAGACAGTAAGATTTTTTTTTTTTTTGAAAGGGACTCTTTGGAGGGACTAAGACCAAGCTATTTTGTAGTTTCGTTTGTTTTGTTTGGTCAAAAAGCTGAGTAACAGAATTGAATGAATTGACATTTTAATATTTTTATGAGGTTTGCTGCGCTATTTTTGTAAACTTAACTGTTAACTTAAAATTTGGACATGTTTGGATACAGTTTAAAGCCCTGATTTGTGTGATTTTAATTTAGCAACACATACACGTATAAAAAAATTAGTGGTGTCAAAATTAGTGCGTTAACGCAGGCGATTGATTTTTTCAGTTTAACGCGTTAAAAATATTTAACGCACTTAACGCAGGGGCGGGGCTAGGGTTGGCCACCCCACTCACAATTGCTGCTTCTGTCACTTTTTCTCTTGACAAGAAGAACGACTGAGAACGGGAGACGTTTCAGACGCACGGTCCACTTCACTTCAGCGCCAGGCGAGAGTCAAGCAAGCGCGGAAAAAAAAAACGGCTCTTCAATTGCAGGCACAAAGGCGCCGGCGCACGCTGTAGCCTGTATCCTTTCATATCAAAGCGTGAAATAAACTACGTGCATGCAATGTTGTGGTCAGTTAAGTCATGAAGTTACCAAGAAGGCGATTAAAGCTGCCTTAAAACTGTGCATGCATGTAATATATTTTATATGAGTCACATTTAAGAACATGTCTCTGAAATGGTTTTCAAAACTGTCCTGGAGCAGCCCAGCACTGTCTCACTCATCTAACACACCCGATTTAACTCATCAGCTCATTAATAGAGACTTTAAGACCTGAAGTGGGTCAGAAAAGGTAAATAGAGGTTTATAGAGAAATCAGTATTGGTATCATTGATACTGGCCTTCAATCATAAAAAAGATGCCATTAAACAAATATTAAAAGATATACTGTCTTCATGTTGTTTGTACATTAATTTGAAGACTGAATGTGAAATTATTGCAATATAAAAGTATATTTAAAAACTTGAATGTTAGGCGGGATTAATCACGATTAATCGCGATTAATTTCAGAAAAAAAAACGTGCGATTAATTAGTTACTTTTTTTTTATCGATTGACAGCACTAAAAAAATCATATAATTATGAACTCAAAATATCACTTTACCATAATATTTTTGTGGAAACCATGAGAACCATGAGAGTTTTTTTTTAGGGTTATTTGATAAATAGAAAATACAAAAGAACAGCATATTTACTTAATAAAAGTATTAATTTATTTTAAATGAAACAACTTTTGAACACTAATATAATATAACATAATATAATATAATATATAAAGTAAGATTTCACCAGCACCACTGCTCTCATATTTAAGTCGGAAGCTTTGAGCTTTGAGTCATGCTTTGAGACTCATGCTTCAAAGCTGTGATGACAGGGTGTTAGGGGTCTGATTATCTTTCCTGTCTGCTCTATGGATATTGAATCATACATGTCCTGATGGGAGAACAGGCTGCATCCAATGATTTTGGATTCTTTCTGCTCGATGGATGATATATGCATGTCTAACTTGCTCCTTTGTGGTGAACACTGCTAATTTATGAGAACATAAAGACTTCTCAAGGATCCTGAGCGGACTACACAGCTCCTCTGTGATTATACTCCGGTCTATCTTACCTATAGATGACGTGGTACTGGCCGTTACGACCCTTGTCTGAGAGAGTGACCTCGTAGCTGCAGGTTAAGGGGTGTCCGTTACTGTGCCTGTCTCTGTTCTGAAGGCCTACTGGTGGAGCCCAGGTCAGTCGCGCTGTCCGGGCTTGGATATTAAAAACCTGTTGATAAACACAGAACAAACAGCCTTAAGAATCTGAAACAATATTACTAATCGTAAACTTTTTTTGTATAATATATTTTTAAGTACAAATATTCCATTTGTATCTCAATTAATATGATCACAATGCAGAACACACCACTATGCAAAACTACTCCAAGTCAACCACCACCACACAAATGTGCAGGACAAACAAATTTTACTTTTATAAACCAAGATTATGACAAAAGTTGACATTTTAAAAACAGTCCAGAAACTCCTTTCTCAAAAGGAGCTTTCAGATGTTGCTGCAAAGAGCTCCAGTAAACCAGCCAAATTCAATTTAAGACAGAAATCGGAAGGAGCAAGTCATTTTGAAGAGTTTGTGGGATTGTCATTTCATTATGAGGTTAGCATACAGCTAAAACCATTCATTTGCTAAACCTACCAGGATTATAGACCTGCAGATAAAAAGAAGTAGCCTACAAAGAAATATAGATCAATAAACAAGAGAAAAAGCTATGGCCACCATGTCAGGTAAGAAATGACTCAAAAGTATTTATATTTTTACAAATTTCTAGGGTAATTTATGTTGTACGAGCATAAAACAAAACATAAACTTTCCTTAACTTTTAACCACAGACATTTTACCACAGGCTAATGCTAACTCACATCTGAGTTTAAGGTCTACGGTCTGCACAGCTTTATACCTCTGCAAGGCCAACTATTTATGTGTCAAACACAGAACTGAAGGTATAAATGGAAAGAGACAGAGCGGCTATAACTCCTCTGTTAACAGGTAATTCAACGTAACACGGTGTATGAGGGTATAACGCTGACATGAATGAGCTGCAGACGTCTCACGCTAGCTTCGGTCAGGCAGAAGCAATCTAACGCCAGAACCAAACAGCTCTCAGACACAATCTATCCTGCAGGTGAAAGCATGTCTGTGGATAAGCTATCGTTGTTGCCTCTCGGATGTGCACAGCTAGCATTGCCACTGGCAATTCTGAAGCTACAGCAATATGTTCTCAATAAACCGGCTGCCATCAGACCCAGCTTTCTCAGAGTCACTTTACCACTTTAACCGAATTGAAAAGCGAATTGAGACCTATACCATTTTTTTTTGTGTTAATGTAAACTCTTTTCTTGTGACTCATCCATAAAGTTCATGGTGAGGACACTCAGCAGGAAGTTATGCCTACACACAAATGAAATTTAGCATATGACCTTAGAAGCCCTTAGGGTAACATGTTTGGTGACAGTGCCACCTGCTGTCCTGTACAAAAGTTATAAATTGTGTCATAAATATCATCTTGCTTTATTTCTTTGGATCATGACTCAATCCTGAACTGTAGTATAGAAGTGCTAGAGAACTTGTGATGTTGGGAACAACACCTGCACCTGAACATCAGACATACAGAGGAACTGGCCCGAGTCTCTGTAGCACTCAGAGAATTTCTGTTTTTTTATTTGCTGGGAAAGCTACACCAGCTGAATTCAAGTTCATGAAGAAACTGAACCAGAAAGGCAGCTCCATTACAGGCTTTTTCAGAGATGAGGATGAGGGCAAATTGAAGCCCATTCCTTCCAGTCCCACACAGCCCTCCAGAATGCCTCATCTTGAGACACATTTCAGCCTCCCTGCATCAATCATGGTACATTCCTTCTGTGCTCTTGCATTTTACATCACATTTTCTTCCATTAACGGAACTGCTGGTATTTTTATTGTATTTATTTATTTGCATGTATATAGTACACTAACATTCAAAAGTTTGGGGTCAGTGTGATTTTTAAATGTATGAAAGATGTCTCTTATACTCACAAAAGCTGCATTTATTTGATCAAAAATACAATAAAACAGTCCTATTGTTTCAATTTCAAATAACTCTTAATATATTTTCAAATGTAATTTATTCCTGTGATGGCAAAGTTGAATTTTCAGCAGCCATTACTCCAGTCACATGATCCTTCAGTAATCATTCTAATATGCTGATTTACTGCTGAACAAACTACTCTTACTATTATCAATGTTGAAAACCGTTCTGCTGCTTAATATTTATGTGGAAACTAGGATGCATTTTTCAAGATTCTTCAATAAATAGAAAGTAAAAAACAAAACATTTACTTCAATTCTTGTCACAATGCAAAAGTTTTTACTGCAAATTTTGTTCAATTTAAAGTTTACCTGCTGAATAAATGTAGTAATTTCTTAAAGAAAAATGTTCACAAAATGCATTGTAGAAAGTACTCCTACTACTCAATGTCAAATGTCAAGTTTTGCTAAAATGTATAACATAGACAATGCATGTAGTTTTCAGACACAGACAGACAGAAAGGGATACAGATGCCTGAATTTCATTTTTGACATTGTTAAACATCATAAAAATATAATCTCTGTCTGTCTAGACTATTTGTTTGCAGTGTTAACGCGCTGATTTTCTTCTAAACCGCCTTAATGTCACTAATATTATAATAATGTGGGATTAATACAAATATCACACACAAACAAATGCATGCAAGCTAAAACACAAAACAGAAAAGATGATTGATAAATACGGGCTAGTTTCACTTATGGATTATCACTTAAACTGACAGGGTGTCCTCAGATACTCCTGAACTAAACAACAGAAAGAACAGATAGGAAAAGAACGGAGCAAAACATATCGGTCAGAAAACATTGTTTTGATGGAAATGTTCACCCAGTCAACCACTGCTTGACAGTGGACCAATAAAATAAAACAAAATGCTGCCACTATGTGGCTGCAAAGGGAACAGTTAGAAATTGTAAACAAATCTGAAAAGATCACTGTGACTTTTACCAAATGTCCTCCTTATGACATATTAAAATAATTAATCATGTTGTGTTGTTTTTATGTGCGCTTACATCTGCAGCCTGTAGTTTCCTTTGGCCAATAAAGGACATCATGTTTATCTGATAACATTAACCATTAGTATTTTTCACTTGTGAGGTTCTTAACTCATATTCCAGACCCACCTGTGGTTTTTCCATTCCTGAGAGAACATCCTGAACTCTCTTTGCTTCTGAATCATGATCTGTAGGCAAGAGAAAGCGGAGCAGAGAAAGAAGAACAGAAAAACAAAAGGGTGTTATTCCATTATGAATCAGCAGGGGTCAGTTTTAAATTAGAAACTGAACAAGAGATTAAAGCATAAAGTCTTAAAGGGACAGTTCACCCAAAAATAAAGAATATTATGTCATCATGTTGTTCTAAACCCAAATGACAACTTTTTTTCTCATTTTAAGGTGAACTATTCTTGTAACCACTAGTACATTTTCCAGGCCATGGACTTCTCTGAAGACGAAACAGACACATTTGATGAGAAAACAGCAATGTGTTTAAAATAATAATTTGGATTTGATGAGAAAAGTATGCACAAGGCATTGGAAAACTTTCCAAAAGCACAGAGGAGCCTGCAGACCCCACTGAAAGAGTGCTGGCACAGAGGACACATGAGCAGTCGGGAGCTTGTGCTTCTACATCTCAGTACTGAATCATGTCTATAAATCGTATGCAACTCCCATGCCAAATTGAAATCCGCACATTGGAAAAAATGCTCAATTACCTCATGTTCCCAAGGCCGGATTAGATCACTTAAGCTACCAGATCATCAGCGACAGATAGTCTGACAGAATACTTTTAAATCTTTACTGCCTCGTGTGGTTATACACACACACACACACACACAAGCACAACTGCACTAACCCGATTTATAATTTCCACAGTGGACCCAAACACACAGGATCCACATGAGCCTCCATAAGAGTGGACTCTTAAACTAAACGCTTGCTTGATTTCACTCTCTGGATGTTAGTGTTGTAAATCAGTGCATATGGAGGAGTTCATGTGTGTGGCCTCCCCTAGGTATCTATAAAATTATCTTCTTTTGATAAAAGGTTTACTGAAGTGAGAGTGGATTATATAGCACTTAGAGCTGATGTAATTCACCTGCTGCTGAGAAACTACTGACATTTGCCTACCCTTTCTGAGTTTCCTTTTCCAGAGTGTCAGTATGAGTAGATAAATCATAAAGAAAAGTATGTGTATAAATGAGCAGTTGACACCGACAGTGCCCTGCAGAGTGTCACCATTTCATCTAAAACTATTTTAAAATTTAGGGTCCCCACACTTTTGAATTAGGGGTTTTCCATGAGCTTTGCAGTTGTTTGTCATTACTGGATAAGGATTTTTTTTTTAAATGCATACATTTTTACAGACACTGCTGAGTTGACTTTTTGCATGAGCTACCAATTTTTTTTTATTTATACATAATTAACACATATTGAATACATTTCTTCGAGACAACATACCTTTGTCTAAGACTATATTTAAAGGTCCTCCTATACAGGTGTATAAATAAAACAAATAAACTAAAAATATCATGCCAGTTTTATATTTTATATATTGTATTTTTTTTTTAAATAATTTTAAGATCGAGAAGGACAGATTGGTGTTTTTATGCTGGTTTGTGAATTTTTGCTCTAAATAAAAATAACCCAAGAGCCAAATGTCGTCTGTCAATATTTTTATAACAGCTCCCTCAAAAATAAAAAAACTGAGAAATAAAAAAGTGTGTGTGTGTGTGTGTGTGTATACATTATATATTAATGTCTTTACAGAAATGTTACATTTTTACATTTCAAGAGTATTTCTATAGTCTTCATATTAATAGTAAGACTACATGAAATAATGGTGATAATTTGTCCAGTTACAGCAATGATAATATAATACACAGTCATAAACAAACCGGGAAAAAAAAAACTGAAAAACTGATGCTGAAAAAAACTGGTTCACAGACACATTATTTGTCATCCACCCAAATACACTACATGAGTATGATTGATGTGTGTATTTATTTCTAGAGTAGAGAGCACACTGGGAGTTCACAGTGCCTCTGGGTCTTCATGAGTCACAGCAACAGTGATGTCATACACAATCACCTTAACATGACCCCGGGAGGTAGGCACAGGGAACGCTGGCTTCCCCAAGAGATGGAAACCTTACTAATTCTGTGTGTGTGTGCGCATGTGTTTGGGTGACAAATTGAGTTATTACTGAGAAGTGACGAGTAATTGTGCAGATGTGGAAGAATATGAGGTTGCCTTCCTCTTGCCATTAACAGAGCACTCATTTAAATCCACCCTAACACGAAAGATGGAGTCATCTTTGTAGAGTCACAGTCTATATGCGAGAATGGTGTTTTGTTGCTTTTAGTCCATGTGTTAGGGCTGGGCGATATGGGCAGAAATTCATATCTCGGTATTTTTTGGCCGTGGCTTTCTAACATTTACAGATGGAGAATATACCTGTGAAATGTAAGTTATGCATTCAGTTAGACAGCACATCTCAAACACGTTAAACAGCGCGAGTAGCCTAGTGTCTCTGTCAGCGGCATGTACACGCAGCCTTTCTGTCCAAGCATCTAACGGGCCGAGCCGCTTAAACTAATATGCGAAATAAAACTATAAACTATGTCTTACCAGTTTTTAAAGGCCTTAATATGAAGCCTGTCACATGTTTTGAACAAATTGGATTATGCACCATGTGTTAGCTTTGAGATCATCCATATATTAGCACAGCAAACATATCCTTTAGTACACTGTTTTTGGTTCAAACAAATGTCTCCTGAATGAGAATGTCCCCAATACAACCTGCAACTAACTAGCAAGTAGCAAATCATGGTGCATGGCTGTAACATAAATACAGTTTATTAAAAAAAAAGATGAGGATGTCGACAAGTCCTACTAAAACTTCCTATTTTAAAAGGAAATACGTCAACACAGGAAAGAACATGGGCTCATTATGCAGTTTTCATAGGGTCTGTAAGTTATCTCCGCAGGGGACTGACTACCTGTTCATCACCTCCACACTCAAACTAGTCATTAGGTTCACTTCCTGTGTGTCCACCCTCTCCTCTCCTTCCGCTCTTGGCCTCAGAGGGAACCTCTTTCAGTTGTGCTCCTGCCAAGCTCAGCACTCGACTTTCCAAAGCTTCACGTCTGTTTCTCACGCATACAGTCTCCATAGGGAGCCGTAGAGTTGAGGCAAGCTGCTCACTCTCTGTCTCACCCTCCTGCCACGTTCTGAATAACTGCTGCTTCACAATATATAAATGAAAATAAACAGAGGAAGAGAAGATGATAGAAGAGGAAGAAAGAAACAAACATTTCTCATTTTAAAAGAAGAGCTGTCCAATTCTATTCTGCATGACGCTGAATAATTTCATTTGCTTCTTTCTAGTGTCTCTCTGGATATCTGGGGTGGACAGGAGTTTCTGCCTTCAATTATAGGTTAAGGTCAAAGACGGGAAAGCGGAAGCGGGGGGGGGTGAGAATAAGGAATGTGAAAAATGGACTAAGAGTAAGTGAATATAAATGACAGAAAGTGAAGAAAGTGAAATAGAAAAGGGAAAAGAAGATATTTTACCAAAGCCAACTGAGGAGAGGTGTGTTATTGCCTTTCTAAACAACCGCACTCAGCAATTAGGTTTTTTTAATTGCCAGATGACAAACAAAACGTTGCACACCTTCAGAAACAAAACCACTGCTCTTAACACACAAACAAATCCAAAACAAAAAGGAAAACAAAACAAAACAAAAAGCACCCTCAGAAACCAACTACTGCTCTCAACACATAAAAAACAAAAAACCAAATCAGAAACACAGCACTGCAAAAACAAAGCAAAACAAAACACACTACCAGAAACAAAACAACACAAAACCAAAAAACAAACAAAGAAAAACAAAGCAAAGCAAAACCAAAAAACAAACAAAAGAAAAACAAAACTAAACAAATAACACCAGTAACAAAATTAATTTAAAAATATTTTATATGTATGTTTTACAAATATCATACATTTTTATATATTTTACACAGGTTTAGGCTGTCAACGAAGAACAATTTTGCCCCCTGATGGTGTAGTAACAGGATCTACCAGCAGGGTCTAACTAGACAATGCTAACCAGCCAACCCTTGAACCACTGCGAACAAACATCCATAATACCCTAGCGACCACATAGCAACATGCTAAAAACACTCTGAACACCTTAGCAACACCCTTGGACTGCTCACACAGTTAATAACCTGAAGGTCAGAGGTTATAAAGGTCATGACCTAAATGAGTCATGTGAGAGCTCACACTTAACCCTACACCACTCTTTAAACCAACATGTAAACCTCTATTTGGATGTCAGGAAACATTTTGACAATGGTCTAGAGCTGCAGTGTGAGTGGAGTGTTTGGGTGTTTAGCTCTATGTGAATGAGAGCGTGCGTGTGTATATAAGGGGGTGCTAGGTAAACATCCAAAACTGAATTTGCCGACTATCGGGAAAAAAGCCTCCAAGAACACCCACAGAGCTGCAGACGCCAAACGGTCAGGCCAGTAACTACACCCACATGGCTGTGTGTGCGTTTGTGAATGTGTGTGAGCGCTAGAGAACCGTAGAACTGTTACAAGGGCCTAAAAACAGCTCACATCCTCTAGCTAGCATCCTGAATACGGGTTGCAGATAGAGAAACTAGGCAGCCACTATCGGGAGGGCCAATCAGTCACATAAACATGTTTCACAGTCCCCAATTCTGTTAGAGGGACCGATTTGTTTGTTTGCTTTTAGATTAAAGCCTCATGGAATTTTTTTCATGCACTTCACCCTGAAAATAAAGAGTTCTTTTGTGGACTCATTCATCTTTGTGCAGAGGCATGTGCTCACATCTGCCCCCTGGTGGAGCGAGACAAACCAGCACATTCTTGATTAGCGATTGTTGTTACACATACAGCCTCCAGGACCAGAGTTGTGCTGTGAATCCTTACAAAAATGTGAAAAATGACCGAGCAATGCTTAGTCAACCAGACGATCATTAGGAAAAACAAACTGAGGTTGTGGCTTTACTAACAGAACACAGTCAGTATGACTACACTGCCTGGAAATCAAACTATATTTGTGTTTTTCTGTTTTTACACAAGCACTTTGCAATACACAATGCATTATGTTAAAACAGATACTGATTTTTAAGGCACCGCAGGAAAGACTAA